TAAATGAGTGCCGACATACGAGTCAGAAACACAAATACAGATGGCTATGCTGGATATATGAACTAAAAAATGCAATGCACTGGATGTTGGTTTTGGAAGATCACCTGGGTTGAAAGATACAGTTCCTGACATGGGGATCCGTTTCTCCAAATTTCAATAGGCTAAATAGTAAAGGCAGATCAAGCACTCATACCACGGTTCTAGAACCAAAGACCAAATGCCTACAAAAATCCCACAAACAATCAGAATCCCATGATATAACCCAATTCAAAACTCCTTAAAAAGGAAAAAAACAATGCCAAGGAAAGAACTGTACAGGTGCTAAATCAAGACCCCGAAGAAAGAAAACCGGTGAAAGAAAAGAGAGAGATTGGTTTTGGAGTAATACCTCTGCAAAGTGGAAAGAGGGATGCGCCGGTGGGTAATATTAAGACAGCTGATATTTTTGGGGAATCCTTCGAAAATGGCGGGCGGGCGGACACAAAGGGCTGAACGCTGAAACATTTATGCTTATTTAGCAAGTTTGGGATTGGTGAGAAGGAAGAAAAAGATTGCATCTTTCTTTGGCTGTCGTTGCTCGGTGAGCTTGACCAAGTCTAAACGGCCATGGCGTTTTATTTTAACTATGGCTCTGTGATGGCCGGCGAAACGCAAGGCCATTCCGTTCAAAATCCGTCCTTTTCCTAACAGAATCGAACCTAACGTCTCTTCCTCTTTTCCCGGTAAAATCATAAAGCTGGACTTTCCAAGACTCTTACCCCACTTCTTTAATTCTATTCGAGGCCCCAGGTCCAGGCCCAGGACCAGGCCCATTATTTTATGGATACCAAGGCCTATTAATGAAATTGCCCCTGACTATACTGCACCTTAGTTTTATTGTTCAGATTGTATTGAATTAAAATTAAAAATGAATTATTCGATTAAGAAAAAATTGTTTATAATTTTTTTAATTTAATAGTTAGTTGTGTGTAATTCTATACAGTTTAGACTAAGGGCGCATTTGGAATTGAAGTTGAGAATTTTTATGTCATACAATGGTTTTAGATAAATGTGTATCTAGTAATTTTTTTCAGATCGTTTTTTTTTTTAAATTGTAAAAGTCACAGTAGATTTATAATAATTTTATATATAAAATCAGAAACCTTATTCTTGAGTTTTTTGGTTGTGATTTTACAGAGAGCATTTAATATTTAATATAATTATAAAATTATTTATTAAAATCTAATTTCGTATAATTTAATTACATTATAATTTATAATATTTTAATAATTATAACAAATTTAAAAAAATTAAATTATGAAAAAATAATAAATATTATTTATTTTAATAATTATATATCTTACAATATTTTTAAAATTTTAATTAATAATTAATAAAATTTATCATATTTCATCTCTAATACTTTTAAGAAATAAATAACTAAATACTAAAATAATTTTCAATTACAATTATAGTACAATAAAGTTCAATACAGCTATAACTACTGTTGGCTCAATGCACTCCAAGAGGGGGATGAATTGGAGTTGGAAAATTTTCACCTTTTTGCAACTACTAAACAAAAATTAAAGAGAGAGTAGCAGAGAAGAGCTTGCACAATGATTTTATAGAGGTTCGGTCCAACCATTTTGAATCTAGTCCTTTACCTTGGCTTCACTCACCAAGGATTTTCTCCATACTCTCCGCTAAGAAAAGCAAATGTGGTTTAAAGAAATCACTCAATCCTTTTATAAGAAGAAGGGTGTTTCTCTTAAATCTCACCCCTTTACAAATTAAACCCCAAGAATCCTCTTTATAAATCACTCTTGAAAGAATACTCACACCTCCAAGATAACATACAAGTAGAACAAGAAGAGAATTATAAGGAAAGATCACTCAAAGATCAAAAAACTTAAGTTAAAGCACAAGTTGGTAGGTAAAAATATTCAATATAATACTCTAAAACTTGTTCTAGATCTATTACCAACCATATTTATAACCCTTTAGTTGAAAATAACCGTTTCTAACTGTTGGGATCATTAAATGCTCTACAAGTCATATAATTTTAAGTTGCAGATTTGTCAGCAAAGCCGACTCTGAATTTGGACCCAACTTAGCAAAACCGGCTTAGATTTCTAGAGCTAGCTTTGTGGCCTTCCTGCACATTCTATTTTTCCTTAAGAGTTAGCTACAAAAACGTAAAGCCGGTTTTAAAAATTTGACTTTAAATAGATTAAAGAATCTTTAAATAACTTGATCATTGTGCATTAAATGCGCCTTCATAGTCAGTTACAAAGTTAAAGTCGACTTTGTGTCATTTTTTCACGTGCACCAAATTGCAGGTTTAAAACTCTCGCTCGTAAAGTTAGCTGTAGATTCTAAAGCCGACTCTCTGTAGTTTTGTTCACCAAAACCAACTGTAAATTTCTAGAGCCAACTCTTTGCAAAATTCACAGGCTTTTCGGTCTAGTTTAGTGCAGTCCAAATTCACTTAATTTTGTAATTTTTTGAAAGTTCAACTACACACTTAAATTAACAAATTAGTCATTCAAATGTATTTTGTAATAATCAAAATCATAAATATAAAAACTACAATTATAGTTACAGTATTTCATAACAATCCTAAATGGAGACACCCTAGAACTTATTTGTCATTTGCAAGTGTTATGTTTTGAGATATTGATGTAGTCATAAGTTTCTAATCTTTTATTATTTAAAAAATATAAAAATTAAGGAATA